GTCCACGATCTTGATGTATGCGAGCCACTACGAGCGAACAGGGAAAACACATATTGTCTGTGTTATTTATTTGTAAAATCGAGCGTTTGGCTATGTCTTCGCGAGTCAATCTATTAGATTGACGTCTGCGACCTGCGGGTACCGAGACTTTGAAAACGCGCACGGTAAAATTTTCTGCGATATCGAATCCTCCGGCACTTTGCGCCAACGAACTCATGAGTTGCCATATGTCCTCGTGAGTTAAGTCGCGTGCTGAACGAAACGATAGACCCGCCGAACCGCGCGCTAGATCCGCTGACTCGAACAATAATCCTACGTAATCGTTCGGTTCGCACGAATATAGCGCATACGTCCTAATTTCACGGAACGCGCTTTCTATCCAACGAATGATATCAGTACCCCCGGGTGGCGGACATATCGCGAAAGTTGCCTCCCTCCCTAATAACGTGAAATTCCTGACTCGGCGCGAATTTTCCGCCCTTAATTCTATAAAAGCGAAATTATGTCTAACCTCCTCCTCCTGTCGACGATTACGATCCTGATCGTTTTCCTCGAGCTGATGATGATGATGATGATGATGATGTGTATATTGACGTTGCTGCTGCTGCTGCTGCTGCTGCTGCTGCTGCTGCACGCACGCACGCACGCACGTACAAATGCATACTTTATTACGAGAATACTTCATCGTATATAACAGTCTACACAATATAGTGTCTCCGAAAAAATTTGATTTAATTTTTTAGTAAAACTCAATTTTATTAAACTTTTGCCCTACTTTTCTCTTACATTAAAAAAAAAATTAAAAAAATTTAAACTTTGTACGAATGACGTACCACGGGCTCTCACCCGTGATACTTATGTTTGGCCCGATTTTCTTACCACGAGTCTCATACGATGTTGTAGCCGAAACGGTTAATTATATTTTATGGGAATTCACCTAACCTAACTAACTGCAATTTCAACTTACTGAAGACAACCATATTCCTGGTTGGTAATTAACACATGCGCACTAAAAATTGTAACCACATAAAAAGTTCAGTCCATACTATATGTAGAGGAAAGGCCCCTATTATGAGATATCAAGTATATTTTGGGTAAATGCTAGAAATCTATGAGCAGAATTTAAAAAAATAATATAATAGATCATTTTGAAGAGAATTTAGTAAGCTTTCAGATAATGTTATGTAAAATTTAATTCAAATTTTATTCTTTTTTTATAAATTAAAGAAATGTAAAAAGTGAGCAAATCGCAGTCAAAAAATTGTGCTCCTAACATGAGATATCTCGAGAAATCGATAATAAAATGCAAAATACATCAGCATTGCAATTAAAAAACTTTATTTAATGTTTCTAAAATATAAATAAACACAGTGTACGTGCAAAATGAGTATGCATTGTACCTATTTGACTCGTCTTCAGGTAGTTGAAACTAAGCATCGTAGAAACAGGCAATCGATGTTTATTCCGATTGTCCTTTTTATTATTAAACAATAACATTTATTCAGCAACGATTTTTACATATTATGACATAGGAGCATAGGTTATTTCATATTAGAAATACCCTAGGTATCTCACATTACGATCGCCTTACGGTTTTATGATCATCAGATCTAACTTCAGTAATTAAGCAATTTAACATATCTTTTTTTTTTCTATTAATATGATCTTACTGTATCACCACATAAAAAATTTATTGCAAAATATTTACTTATTATATTGTATAATAAATAGTTTAAAAGCTCATGTCAACGAAACTTGAAGACAACCAAATTCTAAAATCTTTTTTTGCAATGACTACAGGTCGCACGATCTAATAATAAATTTTCCACTAAATAGTTTTCAATCTAGGAATAATAAATTTATGGTGGAAGCAATAGATAGCGTTTATTAATTTAGCAGAAACGCCGCTCTCATATTAGCCGCCTATCTCATAATAGGGGACTTTCCTCTACTTATATTGTGACGTGGTACGCGTGTTGGGACATGTTACGCACGTATACGTAATAGTTCAAAACGTACTATATCGAAAAAAGTATTTCAGATTCATTTTGTATAAGAACATTTTTTGTATAAAACGCATTTCATAAATGCGTTTTTGATATAAATATAAAAATATAATATAATAATATAACATAATATTAATATAATAAAATAAAATATAATATAATATAAAAATATAATTTAACTTTATATTTATTAAAAACGCATTTATTTTGTATAAAAACGCTTTTCAAATAATCGAGGTAATACAAAACACCCGAAACGATACGAGGCACATGTCCGACCTATTCGAGTGGTCTCACGGATTAGGTTAGGTGACATGCTCATTTGTGCTAAATTCGTTCGTCACTGAACATTGGAGCATATAAATGCAATTGTTCTAACTTTACCTATGATCCAAGTGCTCTCTTAATTGGAGCAAACGAACAAACTTACTATTAAAGACGGACGGCGCTTATGGAATTTCACGTGCCTATAAAAATTTAAGCAATTAAAAATAAGAAACTGACGGTACTAATTTCATGATTTATTAGTTTCATAGACATGTATATATATTTAAAACTTAATAAGTTGATTTTTATTTAAAACTGTGATTTTAATATTATCATTCGAGTTTGATTATCAATAGAGATGATAACTGTAATAATTGAAGAAAAATAATTGTAATTTTTCGGTAATATATAAGATATTATAGCGGTATATATAAGATATTATAGATTAAAAGTATGCGTACTTATTTATACAGCATTTATATAATTAAAAATCGTAAATTTAATAATAAATAATCAAAATAATTATATTAATAGTCATAAATTTTTATTAATCGATAATGTCATCGTTCTTCAATCACCGGGCCCCATTGATTATAGTCACGAAAATTTTCCCAAGACCGACGATTAATAGTATCTTGTCGGTGTTATTAAGTAAGATGCTATAAAAGAATTTATTAGTAACATAAGAAAAGTGTCTAATTATTGTGTGCCCGATTGTAATAATTTAAATTATTAACAAATAATTTTTCGTAAGAAGTTTTGCCATGTTTGTCTGATTCAAGTTTGTCCTATCAGAATGTTGAGAGTGGCCAGACTCTTACTTAAGAGTCTCTAGGCGCTACAAACGCTTTGAAAGCATTTAACTGACCAATCAGAAGAAAGAATTTCACTAAATGACCAATTAAAAAATGTTTTGAAACATTCTGTAGCATCAAGTGGACCGTAACCTTTATTTCAGTATTGTCAACTACAAAATATAAAAAACTGAAAATATAACTTAATTTTCTGGCAGCTGTAAAGAACGATGTGATAATAACAGTACAGATTATTATTAATGACAAATTTCTCAATCGCGAAAAGCTATATAGTCGAGCACGTGAATATTGGCGCCCTATTAAAAAAAGATGTTTTCAAGTCTTGCAGTTGGTAATATTTAATCGGCCGATTAAGGACCAATCTTACCAACTCCGATTAACTTAATCGATTGATTGTTACATTGGAACTGACCAATTGCATTTGCTGTTCAGCAGAATTGACCAATCACGGTTGACACTTAATCGACCGATTAGATTAATCGGAGTTGGTGAGACCGGCCCGGTTTTTTATTATCTAGTTAATTTGTGATTGAGTTTAACCTAATGTTTTATCCAATGGGCTTCATCTGTGATTATTGATAAAGTTCATTAAGTGAAACATCAGATTAAGTTTAACGACAAGTCACGGAGAAATAAGTCTTTTCCTTCGTTTTTAGTTGGCTCTGATTCTCTTAACGAGATTCACTTGGCCAGTCGTACTAGGCACAGTTGAAGCCGGTAACGCTTCCCAAAAATGATGCTATACTCGAGGCGGGACAAAACACGTCTGCGTCTTATTAGACGTAACACACGACTTACGGAGAAATAAGAAGAACAAACTCGAGGATAAAAATGGGTTCAAAACATGGTGTCGAAAAACTCATGGAAAATCGAGACGATGCGATTTTAGTGCGGGAAAAGTTAGAAGTATATACCACACATACGGAATACACATGCACGTTTTATTCTTAATACAGAAATTCCAATTTGTATAAAATTTAATTTTATTTAATTAAATATTAAATGTATCAATATTTATTGAAAAAATATATACACATTTATGCATAGTCATAATATCATTAAATTATCGTTTTTTAACTATCGATATCGAAAAACTTTGAAATTAAGAAGAATAAAAACGGGACTTGAACAATTTTCCATTTCTCTCAGAATATATTCTACGTATGAAAATACATAAATTTACAGAATTATAGGAAAATAGGAAGAAAAATATTTATCAAATCCTCTAAGTTGACAGTTTTCTTCGACAAGAGCACTCGAACTGTTCTTCAATACAGCGGTTTTCCATGATTCGAGTCCATTTTTTTCCGAGACCGGCCGTTTGAGTTTAGTTTCTCTCTTATTACTCCATACCACAAGGTAATCATATATAATGAAAAACCGGGTCTAAGTTAATCGAAGTTGGTGAGACTGACCCTAAGTCAATGATGCCATTTCCAGCAATTCCAGCTCGTTTTACGACATGTAGAGGGGATACGGCGGCAAGCGGCAAGCGGCAAGCGGCAAGCGGCGTCCGGCGTCCGGCGGTCGAATCACCGTCATGACACACAAAAGCATTAGCTCATATCCGTACGCGATCGCGGGTCACTCTTTGGCGACCGACGATGGCTCGACTGCCACCTAGTGGTGCCAGGTTCTGACTTCCACTTGGTAAAGCGTCGTAGGGGAAGGGTGGAGGTAGTTGCCGGAGTACTTACCGTAGTAGTTGCTAGTTTGAAGCTATAGCTAATACCCCACGACAATTACCCCACCTTTCCTTCACTATCGTTGCCAAGTGGTAGCGCAAGCCAGAATCTGGCACCACTGCCGCCACCGTCAGCCCTCGATAGTTCTCGATATATCGCCCATCCGATATGACCGACTGAGTCAACCATGTATGCTACGTATATATCACATGCGTCAATATCGCCGCCATTTTGTTGTAACAGTTCTAGCTTGGTGATCGCAGTTAGTGTTGCAGACGTGAATGACTCACGAATAGTTCAGTGATTAAACTGCGTTTTATGTGAAACGAAATATTGTGTTCTTGTGAGCACATACAATCGCAAGCACGTGCAATTAGTGATTTCAAATATGAATTATAGTTGTTGATTTCCTTCCTGACAAAGGTTCAATACATTTACATTCAGGTACAGTATGTATGTATTGCTATTATGAGATCAATTTTTATTATTTTATTTTAAATATAAATGTATGTGTGTGTGTTTGTGATACATTATGTAAAATATTTATATGTATTTCGTAATTGGAAACTGTTTTTCAATCACAAGAGAGATTTTAAAAATTATATTGAATTTAATGCATTGATGTATATACTTCTATTGCATTCTATTTATATTGTAGATTACTAAATTTCGGATTATCAATGCGCCCTGGTATTATTTATTTAAATTGATTATATTTATTTTTATATGAAAAAAATGTGTCTTGTATTTTGTATAATGCTAGCATGTAACGTTTACATATAGCTACCTATTAATTATCTTATATTGAATTTTCTGTTTTAAAATTATATTTTTCCATAAATATTGCATTTATTTGGTAGATTTTAACATATAATTTACGTGTGTTACAGAAGAAATAAGTATTGGCAGCATTTTGATATGGCTCGAGTTCAACCATATGAAAGAGTTGTGGACGCTGTAATTATACATACAAATCCAACAGTAAGTACTTGGTTTTGATACATATGACACATTTGGTATTTTTCAATCATATAATTTCTTCCTTTGCTGTTTTTTTCATATCCTTTGGACATCACATCTTGAACTATTTTTCTTTTTCTATATTTTGTAGAAAGAAATCTCTTCATTCTGTACATACACACATACAATATTATATACTGTGTATATATATATATATGTGTGTGTGTGTATGTATGTACACACACACACACACACCCACACACACACACACACACACACACACAGAGAGAGAGAGAGAGAGAGAGAGAGAGAGAGAGAGAGAGAGAGAAAATTTATATAGATATGTATGGTTGAGAATTTACATTGACTTATATATGTTATAATCTTATTTTATCAAAGTAATATTGATAATCAATGTGCCAAGTAACATAATTGATAATTTTTGAAATGTTAACTAGACTTTAGATTACAAAGTCATTTTTAATCAATTTTGTGTAAACAACCTGATCTGATATATGTAATGGTGCACTCAGAAAATACAATGTATTAAATACATTACATAATAATTATCTGTGTAATTAATATATATTATAGATCTATTGATCAAATTTGTTTTACTATTTAATTATTTGATGACTATTATCTCATTATTGGCATTTACCTACAATAAGATTTAATAGTCGGTATAGTAGGAAACATACGATAATGTTACACGTAGATTTCTATTGTACCATTGCATCGTGCAATTGTGTATCTTGAATAACCCATATTTACAGTCCGTTCTTATTTCAAGACACTGAGACTATACTATTAAAGACTGATATTCTTATACGAGTTTTGTGTTGAAATTTAAGTGATTAAAAGCAAATAACTAATAATACAATACTAATTTGATGATTTATTAGTTTCGTAGCATATACATTTATTTCAAACTTCATAATACTCGATTTTTATTCTGTGATTTTAATGTTATCGTCGGAGTTGATTATCAATAAAGATGAAAACTGAACAGAAAAAAATTGTAATTTTGCGGCAATAGATAAAATATTATAACATTACAAATATGCATACTTATTTATGGAGCATCTGTATAATAAAAAAATCATGAATTTAATGATATTATCGAAATACTTATGTTAATAATCACAAATTTATATCAATTATCTTCAGGCCCTCAGAGCCCTTTTTATAAGAACAAAAGTCTGTCTAGGATTAATGGTCTTTAATAGTATCTTATCAATGTTTAAGACTATCTTAGCATTCGAGGAGCATGCTACTAACACTGTTGTGTCATTCTGTCTTTTTAATATGCTCGTACTATAGCTCTTAAGACTATAGCATAAGACCCCTAGACCAATGAGCATCTTATGTAAATCAACATGGCGTTTTAATGTCGAATACTTATTGGTTCAGTGGCCTTATTCTGTGGTTATGCAACTTATGTAATTTTGTGTGTGATGGCCCTTACCAACACACTCATTGGAGTAGCAGTATGTTTAAGAATATGAACAAATCTTTTACTGTTGCTTTTCTTTAGTCAATCAAATCTGATTTAATTCGATTACTATACCAGTGGCGGCTCTTCCAATTTAAAACCACACCACAGATTTTTGCATAATGCATAAGACATTAATGGCTTCTGGACTACTTGCACATAGAACGCGGAAATACTTGCCGCGCGATGAAAGTTCACGCAATAGTCAATTATTACTTTTTTTTATAAAAGCGAAAGAATGATTTTTGATTGGTGATTACCAATCCACCACCTTCCACCGCACGTTGCCGCGTTCTGTATGCAGGAACCGTAAGAGAATCAATCAATCAATATAAAATGAAGATTTTTGATTGGTCAATTCTCTTATGCCTATGTTTTATACGTTATGCAGTGTTATGCAAAGGTCTGTTGCAGCCTTTACTTGGAAATAGTGCGCGGAGCGAAGCATGCGCTCACAGAGTCACAGTAGTGCCCCCTATCTCTATCCAATATTCATCAGTGCTACATTTTATACTGGCTGTATGATTGGTGCTCGAGTCGATGAGATTTTAGAAGAAGACGAAGAAGTGCCCTTACCCTGCAAATACAATAAAGTAATAAGTCTTAAGATTTAAGGGATTGACCAATCATAGTCAATTATTCTCACATTCAACTGTGATCAGTTTCTTAAAGTTAAGGCTTACTCTATTAGTATTTACGGGATTATATCGTTCACAGGTTCATTAACCTATACGAAGTTAGTCCCTCACTTTTAGAATTAATGTATTTTGATAATTGTGTTGAATTGGGCTTGATTTGTGCTGGTGTCCTTGAATATCGTAATATAAAACATACGTTAAAAAATAAAAAAAATTTTTCGTCTGCTCTCCACTTGACATTTTTTCTATTTTTTTTTTTAATTATGATAAGTTGTGCTAGATTGTGTTTAAGCTATACTAACATTGTTCTAAAGTATTATTTTCAAATAATGACAACAGAAGCTAAGACAAAAAATAATTTTTGACATATCTGAACATAACTAACGTTTACATTCAAATCCGTTATTCAAATGGCATAAAACTGCATATCTCACTTAACACAAGTCAGCACAACGATGTTAAGGCCACTTTACTCTTGCTTGTGGCTCTTCGCACTTGGATTTTTTGTCCACCAAAATAAAAAACGCATGACTCAGAATTAGAACCTATTTATGAACTTTTGAACCCTGTAAAAAAATTTTAAGCTCGTCCGGTTAGTAAGAATCTTTATTTAAAGGTGGGAAGCTGAGTGGACGGTCATTCTGCCTCCCACCTCTTAAAATTAACGATAGAAAATCGCTCATAGGCTCAGAATTAGAAGGTATTTGTGAGCTCTTAAATGAGTATTCTTTTCAGTTTTGAGCTCCATCTCTTATTCCCAAAACACCCGTAAGACTAAACTAATCTAAACTCAAGAAGTAAGTCACTGAAAATAATACTACGTCTAAAATTTTATTAATGAATATGATTCTGTTATAAATCTGATACAAAAATATGTAATCCTTAATTTTTAAGTTGCAACCCTTAGCAAGAAAATCATTCCCTACCCTTTTTACGCAAGAGAGAACTATATTACAGAATGGAAAAATAAATCATTTTATGACGGGAATTTATCTGCCGATTTAGGAGCTCGCGAAATACGCATAAACCAATTTTTGAGCTGCAACCCTTTAACAGGAAAACTACCCCCTGCCCTTTTCCTACTACAGAGAACTATGTTACAAGATTGTAAAATAAGTCATTTTTAAGACGGAAAAATTAAAGTTTTACTTTTATTAAAACAAAAAGATTCAAGCGAATCTTTATAGGATATACGTTAGGATAGGATTGGATATTATGAGTATCTTAAGGAAAGATTTTGATATATCTAGCAGATTGAAGAATAAAAAAATCTTATGCATACATTTGATAGTTTTATGTATCTCAGTATTGAAATTAGATTATTTTAATGCAAATGTTGAAATGGTGGCGAGTGCTCTTATTACCCGCCCAGTGCGCATATCCTTTGGGTAGGTAGGTTAATAAGCATCCTTCGGGGTGATATGAGCATAGGAAATTTTTTATAAGAAATAATGTAGAAATGAAAGATCGAAATACAATATATATGAAACATTTTATTAGAACAAATGCCAATCAGATGATAACCAAAAATAATGTTGCTTTTACAAATATTTAATAAGTATTATATTTGGTAATATTTACTAAATATTTGTAAATGTAATATTATTGTAGGATTATATTAGCCAAATATTTAATTGGCATTATTTTACCATACATTTAATAGCTATTACCAAACTTTAACGAGGTCAACCACTAAAAAAATGTACAGCGATTGCTAATTACAACAATACAATACACTTTATGGCTAGCATTGCTATTATATCGTTAATATTGTTATCTTATGTACTGCCACCTATTGCACGCAATATTGCCAAATATGGTTAATGTATTGCTATGTACTATTACGTATTGCTAGCATATTGCTAGTACTATTGCTAGCATTACCTGTTTTATTACTGTACTGTCGCAATATATTTCTAAAGAAATGTACATTGATTGCCATAGTGGTTGATCCCTCACCAGACTTTTTTTGTACAATAATGAATAATGAAGATGTTCATAATACACGACCATATATATCTATCCGAAAACTCGTATCTAATAAATCAATAATAATCTCAGAACTTTATGAAGTTAGAATGGCTCAATACTTTTCAAATTTACAAATATTTTTACTTTACAAATATTCGATTAAAGATAATAGTCATAGATACATAAAATAAAAAGTAAAACGGCGTATATTAATATATAAAACAAACAAGTTTCGGCTGCTGGATTGAGCCCTCCTCAGATGTAAAAAGAATATAATCCGAAAAGACATAAAAGATTACAATAAAAAAAATAATAAATCGATAACATTCAGTGACGCAACATTTTTAACGCGCGAAAATCAGCAATTGTGATGGATCTCGACGTAGCCTAATATTGTATATGCGATGGGGCATATAAAATGGGGCAATCAAACCGATGTTAAGAAACATAGTCAAGTGCTAACTGAAAAACGGGAAAGGAAGGGAACTCATAAGAAACAAGTAAACTAAACAACTTAAAAACTTAAAAACTAAACACGCCGCAGATAAGAAGCAAAGTGCTCACTCACCAACGCATCCGATCAGGAAATGAGAACCGCCGCAATGCATGACAGGTGTGAAAACCCATGGCTATGATAGGGATGTAATCGTCGAAGTCAGACATGTCAACATCGCACGTGACACCGACCGCTCGCTAAAACGGAACGCGACGCACTGAGAGAGGAGACGGGTCGACAGGATCGAAAGTCAGACTTTGTTTATAATCGGCAGATATGCCTTATTAAGACCCTCGGTGTCAGTCTGTAAATTAAGACTGTTCCTCTGTTTTTTAATATGTAGCATCTCCGAAATCAAACGCTTTCTATACGAAGGCTCCTCGTCTAATATCAGAACATTGTCCCATTGAAAATCGTGATT